GACGGTAATTAGATGAATCAGATCGCTCTCCAGAATTTTTAAAAATAGGGATAACAGATGCTGCTTCCAGCAGGCTGGAAAACAAGACTCTGATAAGCACTTGTTAAATAGTTTTGAAAGGATAGACGACAGCTCCGGAGAACACTTCTGCAAGACTATAACAGGTATGTTGTCCAGGCCGAAAGCTGTAGAAGAGTCTAAGCGGGAAATCACTTTAGATATAGAAGCTGGAGTGATACGAATGTCGAGCAATGGATCAACCTGTTTGAATGCTATATCAGGTAGAACGCAACTAGTGGCATCAAGAGATGATATTGATGAAAAGTTCTTGGCAAAAAATTCAGCTTTGTCTTTAGTTGAGGTGACAATGTCTGAACCATACAAAGAGGTGGAATTACAGACTTGCCCGTATTATTGATACTATTAAAGATTCTCTAGAAGTCACGAGAGCCTAATTTTTGTGATGAAATACGAGATTTCATGATCTGAGAATAGCGAGCTTTGGCGTTAGACAAAACCTTTTTACAATGGTTCCTAGCAGTAATAAACAGACGTCTGTTGGAGAATTGTTTTGCTGATAGATATGGAAGTAATGGTTTCGATTGGCAATTGCACCAGCACAATGTGAGGAAAACCATGGAGAAGAGTGAGGCTTGACCTGGAATCGTCGAGAGGGAATAAAGGATTCCATGCCAGCCTGAATCCACGAAGTTATGTAAGAAGCACATTTGTCAACAGGGAGACGAAAGGTTTCTACCCAGGAGCCATCACAAAGAAAATCACGGAAAGAGTCCCAGTCAGCTTTAAGTTAGTTGTAAGATGTACGATGATAGGGGGATTCTGATGGTAAAGAAGAATGAGATAATAGTTTTAGAGAGACCAAACCATGATCAGATGCATGAAGGGTGAGTGTGAAGAAACTGAGCACTGACTAGAATCAGAAACAAGACATAAGTCGAGTAGAGGTATGGCTAAATTAAGTGATCGTGGGCCGGCACTTGTGTTAACACCGGCATTACAACTTCTTGGTCATGATCCAACAGAATACAATGTTAATCCAGCTTTCATTCGAAGGGAACGAATAAAACACCACAAGAAGATAGCAGAAGGTGTAAGGAAGGAATTCAAACCAGAAGTTCCTTTATGTATTCATTGGGATGGTATTACTTGCTGACATCACCAGTAAAGAAACTGTTGACCAACTTCCAATTCTAGTATCTGGAGTAGGAATGCAGCAGTTTCTTAGTGTCCCAAAACTACCATCAGGAACAGGTGAAAATGTGGCATTTACAGTGCATGACATATCTGTGGCATGGAGAGTTAACGATCAAGTAAAGTGCATGTACTTTGATACTACTGCAGCCAATACTGGGCCAAGAAATGGGGTTTGCATTCTTCTAGAGCAGAAGTTGGGAAAGATATGTTGTGGTTTGCATGTCGTCACCACATTCTGAAAATTATTTTGGAAGCAGTAGTTTTGCTGTGTCTCGGCCCTTCAAGTGGATCTGACATACCACTCTTTAAAAGATTTTAGAAAAGTTGGGTCTCAATTGATTCCACAAAGTACCACACAGCATAGTCTTATAAGAACACTTCAAATGCTCTTACGGATATCACTAATAAAAGAATCGCCTTTTGCAAAGATCAACTACAAATCTTTTAACCTCTTGACGACTACCAAGAACTTTTGGAGTTTTCTATTGTTTTTTTAAAAAAAGTAACTTTGAGGAGCATTTTATTTAGAGCTCCTTAACAGGAGCTCTAAATAAAATGCATTTTATTTAAAACTCCAACGCATAAATAGCAAAAGCTATTTATGCGTTGAAGATTTGGATGTTTAGAGACCAATTCAGGTTGACAAAAAGAGAGGAGTAGGGAATAAAGGATATTTTCTTTTTCACGATTTGACTGTACATTACAGCCTGGTACAGATATCCTGAAGCAACCTCAGCTCCTAGACTTGATCTGCAGCTCTTGAAAGACTTGGATGCCTACAAGACTCAGCATCCTGAGATCTCAAAAATTGATGTGAAGAAGTTACAAGGGCATCTCTGGTACCTATCAGAGGAACTTGTTGCTTTAGCTTTTTTTGATGATGAGGTTTGCCCTGAGACAAAGGTCAAGATGGTCCAAGCATTGAACAATGTTTTAGATCAGATACCTATGAAATGGGCTCCTGTGGACTGCTCAGTTATCCAAGAAAAGAAACTGGAGGACTTTATCAGGTTTAATACACAACAGTTTTTCAGTATCACAGGACTTCCATCACACTTTCTTGTGATGAAAGTCCTGTGATGGAAAAACAGTGTGAGCAACATGATGATGAGTTCAAGACTGTAAGTCCACTGTTCGAAGCATGAAGGTTGCCAACGACATTGCAGAACATAGCGTAACACTAATGGACAAATATAATAGATTACATACAAATAACGCAGAGCAAAAGCAGTTCCTGTTGTTGGTAGTTCAAAAATAAAGACATAAATATTCTGACAGAAAAAAGACTCATAAGCAAATAATCTTAGTACTGTAACTATTGTCTTAAATAAACCAATTAAAGTAAAAAGTTTATTGTTGTCTTTTAATAAATAAGTAGAAATGCAATGACAGAAAATGGATGTTTTTAATACATGTAATAAGTAAATAAATGTGTACCAAGTAAATGAGTCATTATGACCAGTCTCCATCAGTTTTATGATTTTTTCCTATGTTAATGACTAAGAGCGCATAGTAAAATATGCCTTTAATATATATATACACATTCCTATATATATATATATATATATATATATATATATATATATATATATATATATATATATATATATATATATATATATATATATATATATATATATATATATATATATATATATATATATATATATATATATTATATATATATATATATATATATATATATATATATATATATCAGGCCTTGTGATGAATAAAAACTGCGCGACGCATAAGCACGACGTGATTTTTGACGTCATTAAATTCTTTTTATTTGCTTTTCATATTTATCGACATTAACTGCACCAATTTACTTAACTACCGCAAAACTACTTTAAATCATTAATGTAGAAATGTTATTATTTAAAAATGTTTTGGAATGTTTCATTTTTTAAAATGTAAAAACATTTGTTTATTTTCTCGACGTTCGACACGTTTTTTCTATACTAAACAAATAAAAAATATTATAACTAAACATTTAAAAAAGATTATAAAATATGCTAATATTTGATTTTTTTTTCTCAAATATGTAATTTAAATTTTTCAAATAATTATTTTTTCTTTTTAAAAAGTCAGCGAGTAATAAACTGGAAATTTTAATATTGTGCGACTAAAAACTGTGCAATAGCTAATATTTTTACCAGCAATTTTATATAATATTTTTTTGTTTATTTATTTTTATTTATTTTCATAAAGCATTTGATAAGCACAATCACTCGTATTACTAAAAAACTTTAACAAATATTTTAAATATTTTTTTAATGTTTGCAAGGAATTTTATTTCTAGTAAAATAAAATAAATTAAAATGTTAGAATTGAGCACACTTCTTGAGCATGCTTTGTTGAGTTTCGGTAACTTTTAACAAAAAAGCGATTGTTATTATTTAAGTAATTTTTTTGAGTTACTTTTTACAAAAATTTTAATAACTGTACTTTTTTATTGAATCAAGTAGAATACATTTTAATATTATTCCTTTTTTTTTTTAATTGCGCTTACCAATTTTTAAAATGTTTCCTAGAAATTACTCTTAAATACTTTAAGTACGTCTAACAGTTAATAAATATTTTAAATCTATGGAATAATTTTCAATCTTAACAAACACCCGTAGAATAATAATTTAAGTTAAAAATCTAAAACTAAAAGAAAGTATTTTTGTTCAATTTTATCGACAACTTTGCTATTGCTGAATAATTTTATTAAAATGTTACCTTAAAAAGATTTAAACTTTTTTTTTATCTGAATTTTTTCTACTTGTAAATAATGAGCATATTTAATTTTTTTGTAATTCAAACTTTTATATCAACTGCGTGCGGTTTTTAAAATACTTTATTAAATGTTAAAATAATCGTAAATTATTTCATACATCAATGCTGCTACATCGACTGAGGGTTTGGTTTGGCCAGGCAGTTTATCATTAAAAAAAATATTTTTTTTTTGTAGTTTTTTAACATTTTCTGGTCAGGCTTATTAACAAGCTCTTTAAAACAACATTTTATTTGTTTAAACAAAAGCTCTTTAAACAAAAATTTGTGACTACCATGTAAGACTCTCTCTCTCTCTCTCTCTCTCTCTCTCTCTCTCTCTATATATATATATATATATATATATATATTATATATATATATATATATATATATATATATATATATATATATATATATATATATATATATATTTATGTATATATATATATATATATATATATATATATATATATATATTTATGTATATATATATATATATATATATATATATATATATACATATATATATATATATATATATATATATATATATATATATATATATATATATATATATATATATATATAGGAAGGAAAAAGTAAACATATATATATATATATATATATATATATATATATATATATATATATATATATATATATATATAGATATATATATAGATATACTTTATATATATAGGTATATTGATCAATACTGAAAGGCCTCTAGTACTATTTAATATTTTCTTAGTAGTATTTTAATATAAAAAATTGATTCATTTTTTGAAAATTGTTGTTTTGCTTGGCTTCTTTTTCCTTCATATTGTTTTAAATAAATTGCTTGCTGTATATATATATATATATATATATATATATATATATATATATATATATATATATATATATATATATATATATATATATATATATATATATATATATATATATATATATATATATATATATATACTATATTATTTTTTATATGTTTTTATAATAAACATTGTTTTAATTAATTATAGGATTATAAGCATCTTATTGCAACAATGAGTTTGGATGATATTGAGCGAATCGCTTCCAGAAGTTTAAAACTGTAACAAACTTTTTTTTTTGATTTAGCAATCAAGTTTTGTTGCTATTTGTTTTGCAATTTTTAATATTGTATTTTCTGTTATTACGAGTTCCAATAAATTTTTTAATAACGCAATACCTCTTAACTTTGTTTTGCAATATCTAATTCTGTTATTAAAAATATTTTATGTTTGAGTTGAACTTTACTTAGTATTTTGTTTTCTATCTGGTGCATATTATAATTTTAGAATTATTTTTGATATTATTGTTGATTTTAAATGATATTTAAAAGAGTTTATAAAAGTAAATGGTTAGACTTAATTTAAGTTGTGCTAATGAAGTACTGTGTATAGTATATTATGAAACTCTGTTGGTTTAATGTTTATTTAAAGAAAAAAAACAAAAACAGTATTTGTATACTAAAATTGTAAAACATGAAAATAAAAAAATTTGTTTACTTTATTTTGATGAAACATTCTTTTTTTGGTAAGGTGTGCGCAGTAAAATATCTAGACAATATTTGATCAAAGTAATATTTTTCTAGTTCATGTAACCAAAGGAAAGGGAATTAAAAAACTAGAAATGTTTAAATAGCTTTAATTTTTAAATGTTTAAGGAGTTTAAGAACTTGCCACAATTGTTAAAGATACAAACAAAATTGTGTAAATTTAGTTTGGAAACTGTGTGTGATCTAATGGAGAATATTCTTGGAAAAGTGTGCCAGGTGGTTCTTAAGCGTGGTGAAGCATTCTATTTAGTCATAATTGTTTAATTTTTAAATTAAATTTTTCAAACTTGATGGTTTGTATGTGCTTATAGAATTTTTTTACAGAAAGTTATTAAATATCAAAGTTATCTTAAATTTTTATCGCTTACATCTTACATTAATATACCAAATCTTTGGGAGTTCAATATATACATCAATTTGTGTGTGTGTGTGTTAAGTCAAGTTTAAAATAAATATATTAACTAATAGAATTTGGTAATTAGAGATTTTTATTTATGAATAAAATAACACTCTATTGCGAAGTTTTAAATTATTAAGTTATTATTATATTATTAAGTTTTATTTATCTACTTTTTGCATAGTTTTATTGTTTTAAGTTTTTTTTTTTTTTTTGATATTGCAAATAACTTCTCAACATATCAGAACATAACAGAAATTAATCATGCATTATGTGATAGTAAGTGATCATGCATTGCCATATGCATTATCTGATAGTAAGTAATCATGCATTACCATATGCATTGTGGTAGTAAGTAATCATGCATTATGTGGTTATAACAAAAATGATCAAACATTAAGCTCACAATTACATGGTTTGAAGTTCAAATCCACCTTATTTATATATATATCACCTAATTAAATATATATATATATATATATATATATATATTTAATTTTACATATATATATATATATATATATATTTAATTTTACATATATATATATATATATATATATATATATATATATATATATATATATATATATATATATATATATATATATATATATATATATATATATATATATATATATATACAGGGGTGGGACCGCAAAATGTGAACACTTTTCTGATTGTAATAATTAATTTTCTGTTAAATATGAACTATTTTAAATGTTCAGTTTTTGTTTTTTTACATATCATATTTTACTTTGTTTACATATTCATTAGTACTTTGTCTTTCGTTTTTTATCAAATAAACTCAACTACATCTAACGAGAAAATAGTTATAATAAAACAAAAACGTTCACATTTTGCGGTCCCACCCCTGTATATATATATATATATATATATATATATATATATATATATATATATATATATATATATATATATATATATATATATATATATATATATATATATATATATATATATATATATATATATATATATATACATATATATACATATATATACATATATCAGTAGTAAATGCAACAATTATTGGTATGGAAACACTGATTGATGACTGTGATTGGCCAAAACAGTTTCAAGAAATCAAGGTAGCAGTTCTAATAATTGTACTTTTATGTTTCCAATAAAATAAAAAAATATATATTTTGTTTAATTTATATATATTTGGTTTTGATTTTTTTAATTTTCTTAACGATCAGAAAATAGATAGCTTACTTCGTTGCTCAATATGTTTTGAATATTTTAACATAGCAGTTGTTGTTCCTGCTTGTTCTCATAATTGTAAGTTTTAGTTCCTAATTAACATATATAATTGCACATTCTTTCAAAGTCATGTTATTTAAAATATTTTCGCAGGGCTATATATTGTATATCTTGCTATAAGATAAATTGCGAAATTTTATATTTTAGACTGTTCTTATTGTATTCGTAAGCACATATCATACAAAAAGCATTGTCCTACTTGTTTCATAGTATGTAAAATGCCTCTTGTTATTTCTTACCTTTATTAAGAATTAAATTTTTTAAATTACTTTTAATGCACAATTAAAAAAATAGTTATTAGTAATAGTTATTATTAGTAATTAATAGCTATTTATTAATTTATTATTACTAATAACAATTTTAACCAATTTAGCTTTTATTGCATTTAATTTTATGTTTTACTTTTAGCTTCTTTTTGATTCTGATTTTAATTTACTTTTAGCTTCTTTTGAATACTGATTTTTAATTTATTTTTAGCCTCTTTTAGATGCTTATTTTAATTTATTTTGAGTCTTATTTGGATACTGGTTTTAATTGACTTTGAGCCTCTTTTGCATACTGGTTTTAATTTACTTTTAGCCTCTTTTGGATACTGATCTAAAGTGTAATCGTGTGTTAGATGAGCTAGTACTTTACTTTCAAGTTGTGAGGTAGGTTAATTTAATAGTTGTGCTTATAAATTTAAAAAATTCATTATCTTATTAGTTTGGTACAAATCTATAAAGTATATCTTGTAAATAATGGTTGGTATAAGTTTAATTGTTGCAAAGTTTTTACAAAATTATATGTTAAAAGGGATACTGAAGTGCCGAGCCAAGTTGTTTTGTTTTATAAAGAAACCTTAGAAACTAAGTTATTTTTACAACTTTTTTTAAATCTTAATACTTAACAGAAATATAGTTATTTTTTATTAAAATTTTTTTTTTTTTGAAATGTAAATAAATAAGACAACTTAAGATTTAACTCCAATGTTAAATTTAGTGTTTGAACAATTACAAAATATGGAAAACAGCCAGATTGTAATTAAAAAATTTACTGAGTATAATATACAATTTAGTTAAACACTTTTCTAATATTTCTATAAAGATGTTATTCCTCAACAGAGTACGGTTGACTCTTGATATCTTGAACTCTCTGGAGACTGGGAAAAAAGTTTGAGATATAGAGAATTCAAAATATCAAGAGGATTTTGGCTCAAACGAGTGCACAAGTGACCAGAAATATACACAAAAGTTCAAGATATCAAGTTTTTTTTTTTTTTTTTTTTTATTATACTTCACCTCCTCAAGGCCGAGAAGGCCACTACAGACGAGGAGGCTACTTATTTTGTGGCTATAACCCTCTCTCAACTCTATAACTCCGAAACACGAACCTTGACGAACAAGGCCGCTGCGCAGAGAAACGAGTTGAGCGCGATACTACCAGGGACGTGGTGGGGATCGAACTCGGAACCACTCGTTTATGAAGCGAGCGCTCTACCACTACACCACTACCGCAAATGTATATAACTCTTGGTTATATTTGAATAAAGGTATAAATGTTGATTTGTAAAGTTATATTTTTTTAATTCCTAAAATTTGTTATAAAACCTATTATAAAACCAATTTTATTATAAAGGCAAAAAAAAATTGTTTTAACAGTTTTTGACAATAGAAATTGCAGAAGTGGTGTAGTAATAGAGCGTTTGCTTCATAAGCAAGAAGCTCCAAGTTTTCTCCCCACCACGTCCCTGGTAGTACCGCACTCAACTTGCTTCTCTGTGCAGCGACCTTGTTTTTTAAAGTTTATGTTTCAGAGTTAAAGAGTTAAGAAAGATAGTTGTTACCACAATAAAATAGCTATGACGGTAGTGGTCTTCTTGACCTCGGGGAGGTGAACAACAATAAAATAAAAAATAAAAATTATTTATGTAACATTAAAATAATAAGAAAAAAACTGATTCCAAAATGTTAAAGGATAAAATGCGAGCAACTTTTCTTTACATAATTTATCACACCTTTTGTTTATAACCTGGATTTGATTTATTTTTTATTAATATGTATTTTTATTTTTGATGTTTTGTCTCATAAAATAATTTTTAATGCAAAATGGTCATAAATGGTCATTTTCATTTACATAAACATCTCATAATACCTCTATTTTATCACATGCCCCATTACTTTAGTATTATCTCATAATACCTCTATTTCAACACATGCCCCATTACATTTCAATAGAAAAATCAATATAGGACCTCTAGCATTTAAAGCCTCCAAAAAAATATTGTCTATAGAAATGACAAAACAAATAGTATTACAACTATTCTTGTCAAATACAAGATTTGCCCTTGTTTACCTGATGCAGAAGTTAAGCATTTTGCTGACACCTGCAAGTTGTGTCAAACAAGAAAAACTGAAAATAATATCTACAAATTATTGAAATATTTCTTTTAAATTGGTCAAATAATTTCTTGAATGTCCTAGACTAAGTTTGAGACGCACATGTAAATTAATGAAACACTTAGTAATTTTTTTTAGGTTTATTACTTTATTAATGGCCATTTGCAATCAATAACTTTTAAATATTTAATTTTTAAACTTTATAAATATTTCCATATATTTTAAATACTCATTAATAATTACTTTCGAATCATCTATGCTGCAATTTGTTTATTATTTGCATAAGTTTATCAATGATAGATTTAAATCAGGACTTTGAGCTGGTTTTCATATGGTCATCAAATTAATTTTTATAGTTTTATGAAAATTTGATTTGATTTCTAAATAGAGTTTTTATTTTTATTTTTTTTGTAACTCTATTTCTATACTCTATCTATATATCTAATTCTATATATATATATGTATATATATATATATATATATATATATATATATATATATATATATATATATATATATATATATATATATATATATATATATATATATATATATATATATATATATATATATATATATATATATATAGAATTAAAAACTTTGAATTAAAATTTGACCCTGAAAAAAAGAATACAAAAAAGCGAAATAGAACTAGAAATGTAATTTAGTGCAACCCCCCATATAGCAAAAATGTTTCCACAAACATAGGAAAAGTGTTTTTAAAATTGATCGATAAGCATTTCCCGCCCTCTAATAAATTACATAAAATTTTTAATCGAAATTCTATTAAAGTTAGCTACAGTTGCACAAAAAATATGGAAAGAATTATAAGAGGTCACAACAATGCTTTGTTAAACAAACAAGAAATCCAAAATGAAAAAACTACAGAAAATTGTAATTGTAAATAAAAAAACAATTGTCCAATGAGTGGAAGTTGCTTATCAAAAAATGTGGTATATAAATGTGTTTTCTCCTCTAAGAATGTACCTGATAAACAATATATTGGCATAACAGAAGGTGAATGGAAAAACGTTTTGCCAATCATAAGCAATCTTTTAAAAATATAAAGTATTCAAAAGACACCATGCTGTCAAAATATATATGGGAATTAAAAGATAAAAAAAAATGATGGTTTTACACTGAATTGATCCATCCTTAAAACAGTGCCTGCATAAAACAATATTTCCAAAAAATGCATACATTGTCTACAAGAAAAATTTGAAATAATTACACATACAAACCAAGAATGTTTATTAAACAAAAAATCAGAATTGATTTCTAAATGCAGTCTAGTCCAATACATAGAAGCGATGGAATAATGGACCGTTTCATGTATAAAAATATCCTGAAAGATGTTATGTTACCTCATGCTGAATGGAATATGCCAATAAAATGGGTTTTTCAGCAAGACAATGATCCGAAACACGCTGCAAAATTAGTCAAGCAGTGGTTTCAAGACAACCACCTATTGGTGATGGATTGGTCGCCTCAATCTCCGGATTTCAACCCTATCGAGAACCTGTGGAAGGTTGTAAACTGCAGAATTAATCGTGAAGGTGTTTGTAATAAGGATCAACTATTTGAACAAATCCAAAAGACCTAGGCAGCGATTCCACAAGTTTCATTGATCACCTGATTAAATCTCTCGACATATCTAAAGCTTTCGACAAAGTTTGGCATGCTGGTCTTCTCCATAAGCTTGCTTCATATGGTGTTTCTGGGAAAGTTTTTGAGATTATCAAATCATTTCTTTCTAACCGATTTATTAAAGTCATCCTTGAAGGCCAACACTCTTCTTTATTTCCATTAACTTCTGGGGTTCCCCAAGGTTCCATCCTGGGCCCTGTTTTGTTTCTTATCTACATAAATGATCTTCCTGACAACCTTTCATCTAAAGTAGCTCTTTTTGCTGATGACTCAACTTTATACTCCTGTCTTGACAAAAAGTCCTCTCTTTTCGATCGCCTAGAACAAGCAGCTGATCTTGAATCCGATCTCACTTCAGTAATAGATTGGGGTTCACAGTGGCTTGTGAATTTCAACTCTAAAAAAACCCAGTTGCTTACTGCAAACAACTACCGTAATATGGTCAACATTCCTATATTAATAAATGGCAATCCTCTTACTGAGTCGTCCTCTTTACACCTTCTTGGATTATCGCTTACTACTGACCTTTCATGGAAACCATATATACAATTGATTGCTAAATTAGCTTCTGCTAAGGTTGCTTCTCTTTATCGTGCTCGCCATTTCCTTACTTCTGATTTCATTCTCTACCTCTACAAATCTCTTATTCGTCCCTGTATGGATTACTGTTGTCATATTTGGGCTGGTTCTTTTAACGATTCACTTTCTCTTCTTGACAAGGTCCAAAAACGCATTGTGAATGTTGTTGGACCTGGACTATCTGCTAAGCTTGAACCTCTTTCCCATCGTCGTAAAGTTGCATCTCTTTCTCTTTTCTACAAATATTATCATGGTCACTGCTCAAAAGAGTTATCATCTCTAGTTCCATCAACTAAAATTCTTTCTCGTTTTACTCGTCATTCAGCTAAGTCTCATTCGTTTACTGTATCTGTCCCTGCATGCTCTAAAAACTTTTATTCATCTAGTTTTTTTCCCCGCACTTCAATCCTTTGGAACTCTCTCCCATATTCATGTTTTCCTGACTCATACAACCTTCTACTTTTCAAGTCTTCTGTCAACCGTTTCCTTGCTCTATAACTCTGTTCTTTTTTTTCCTAGTAACTCCCAACTTAATAGTGGTTGCTTGCAGCCTTGTTGGGAGTGAATGCAAATTAAAAAAAAAAAAAATCTATGCCTTGAAAATGCAAGGCTGTGATCGACAACAAAGGATTCGATATGAAATATTGATAGCCAAATACAGCTTGGTCAATATTTTGTGGAGTTGCACTTGTTTTGTCCACTAGGAAATCAACTTTTTTTAATACTTTTGATTAATTTATTAATTTTCGTGTACAAATAATGAACTTTGTGATGAATGAAACCTGAAGAATATTGTCTCTAAACAGTTACATAGTTATTTCTCTAAACTGAAAAAATGCAGCACTTTTATATAAAGAAACTAAATTAGCATTATTTGGTTGCACTTGATACTGTATATATATATATATATATATATATATATATATATATATATATATATATATATATATATATATATATATATATATATATATATATATAATTCTATGCTCTTGCTATACTAAAAAAGAGCTTCAAGTGTTGTCTTGTTGAAAAACATTTTATGGCAGTAATTTACTTTAGATAAAATCATTGTTGATTCTAGCAACTGGGTGATAGCTCTGCAGTTCATTCTGCAAAAAATAAAAACTAAATTTGGCTTACAAGTTGTTCATGAACCTCTTTCAAAGATTTATGTTTGAAAATTATTGTGGTTTCATTCTGGATATCCATTACCCATGCCAATATCTATATATGCCAATATCATCATCAAGATCTAAGTTAAATTTCTTATTGCTTAAAAAAAGAAAAAGGAAAGAAAAAAAAAAAGTAGATTAAAACTGATCTACAAGTGCCAAGACAAGTTATGTTTATTTTATAAATAAATTTTAAAAAATATGTTTAGAGTTAATTTTTTTTCAACTTTTTAAGACTTGTTAAGATTCATTTTTTTTGCTAGAAAATTTTAGAACTTTCATTGCTACCTATTTAACTGTTTCTTTCACATTTAATTTTAAAAATGTGAAAGAAACAGTAAACTCAAAAAAATAAATAAAAATTTGCTTTAACTTTTATACATTTTTTTGCAGACTCTTAAAAAACATTTCGAAAAGATATTTTTTTAAAATTGAGTTTCTGGGTAATTTCCTGATTTGAGAGTATTTTTTCAACAAAGGTTAGTTTTTTATCCTTTTTTACCTTGCCTTTTTATGATAATATTTTGGTTAATCACTATAAATTGCTCACTGAATTTACTTAAAGTAGCAAAAGCTTAATTAAAACTATCTTATCTCTACTTATCTCTACTGAACTCTGTTATCTCTACTGAACTCTGTTATCTCGACTGAAATAAAGCAGCTGAAAAGCTTATGACAATTTTATAAACTGTTATATTCTTTTATAGCATTTTTGTTGATATGTTAATGACAACATTAACATATGTTAGTCAATATTTTTATTAAATGTGAAACATATTAAAATTTAAAATTAACAATAAGTATTTAATGCAACCAATTAAGAATTATAAACTTCTGATTGATTTAAAGAGTGTTTTAATAAGGTTTATCTATTTTGTAGAAAAAAATTGCTTGATATCCTAGAGAAGTACTATAGCATCACAAGTCACTCAGAATGTCCTAGTAATTTGTCTAAATGCACTGAAGTTTGTCAAGTTGTTAAGGTAATATCGTTTTTACTTTTACGATGATGATGATGATTATGATGATGATGATGATAATGATGATGATGATGATGATGATGATGATGATGATGATGATGATGATGATGATGATGATGATGATGATGATGATGATTTCATAATTACAAAAAAGTTTTTTTTTTTAATTTTTATTTTTTTTAATTCACCTTCCCAAGGCCGAGAAGGCCACTGCAGACAAGGAGGCTGCTTATTTGTGGTTTTACCCCTTTCTCAATTTTATAACTCCGAAACATGAACCTTGACAAACAAGGCTGCTGCATGGAGAAACAAATTTAATGAAGTCAATGTCAAATTACAGTTAAAACATCAAAATAAAAACAAAATGTTTATGTCAATATTTTTTAAACAAATAGAGTTAGGTAACTAATTACACAAATCAAAAAAAACTTGTAGCATTGTTTATCTACAGGATTTTTTAGAACTTGCAAGTTTTTAGTTGATTTTCTCACAAGAGTGTTTGTATTGAAAGTAGTCAAGGCAAAACTGAGTTTAAAATTTTTTGAAAAAGATTATTATTACACTTGGAATGGTTATAGAGGAAAAAATGTTCAATAGTTTTGTTCCAAAAAAAATAAAAAATTTATGGGGATAAAAAATGCAAAGATAATATTTAATTTTCCGGGTATAAAAAAAACAGTAGTGTGCAGCATTGAAGTTGATCATATCAAATATTAATGCTTCTACAAAAGTTGTAAAAGCAGATTGTTTTGATTATGACATATTTATATAGTTGAACTTTTTTATTTTATTTTTTATTTTTTTATTAACAGCATTGCTCTTAGAATTTTGAAAAGTAGAAAACCAATACTAATAATAAATTAGTATTAATGTACATGTCAAAGTTCTTACAAACCCATACTAACACTTTCCAATTTTCATTTTTACCATTTGGTTATTTGAATTTTTTGTTTTTTTAAAACCTCTCAAATGTTAGGTACCACAAAGTTGCTTAATTTAAGTTTTGTAGTACAAAATTTTAGAATCATTTTAAATGGCTATTTAAAACAAAATTAAATTAGTTTTGACTATTACTTTTTGCAAAGTTTTTTGTTAAACCAAGCTTAATGTGTAGCGGTAACAGAAAGTTTTATATCAGCCATTTATGTTGGTTTCTGGTTGGTTTTTTGGTTCATAGGTGTTATTTTATGATCTTGAGTATTTTTATTTACTAGCATAAGAAATTGAGCCAGAGACATGATTATTATATATCTATAAATAGATATTAATCTATAAACTTTTGGATTCTTTTTTGCGACCTTATGGTATCTTATTTTAATCTAATGATCATTAGATTATTTTCAATGATTTTTATTTCTAATGATTAAATTTTAAAATTTTAAAATTAAAAATTAAAAATTGTATTTTGACTACATCAATATTCTTTAAGTTTTTATAGCTGTCTTGTATAAGTTAATAAGTATATAAGTTGCTATAACTTAGTTGCAGGTGTACTAAAACAACAACATTCCTTTATTATAAGAAATAGTAAAGGTGAAGAGAAAGTATTCATTTTTAAAAAAAAGTTGCAACAGTTTTAAAAAGTTTTTAAAGATTTTTAAATTTTATAAACTCAATCTTAATAAAAAATGTATTAAAAAAATAAATTAAAAAAAAAAAAAAAAAATTAAAAAAATAAATTAATTTTTAGATTTAGATTGTTTTAATTAAATGTTTTTGTTTGACATCATCCTTTATATTTTCTGCATATAAGATACTATTTTTTTGTGTGTAGGTCTGTGTGTCCTTTTGTATGTTTTTTTGTGTGTGCTTTTCTGTGCGCTTCCTGGTTTTACTTAGATTTTAGTTGTGAGTGTAACAGGACTTTTACAGGATTGCTTTTAACTAGCGAGTTGTTTGAGCTTGTGCACCTACCTTTTTTGTGTTTAATATGTTTTTTTTTATGTTACCTATGTTGTGTTCCTTTTTTTGTTTGTTTTTTTGTTTTTTATTTTTTAACATTAATATTTTTATTTTATTTAAATGTGTACTTACATAATTACTACAATTACATAAATAATTACTGTTTCCACAAAAAAAAAATTTTTTTTTGGAATATGCCTGAGCTACCTTTCTGAACCAAAAGTTCAAGATAAGCTATGGATAGGTGTCTAGTCTGTAAATTGGATATAGGTAAATTGGAGTATTGCTGGGCTGAATTTAGTACAGGGATGAGTTTTTTATGCTGGTAACCAGTAATACTTGATTCTACTGTTCATTCAATACTTTGACAATGTTAGTATGTGTATGTATGTATGTATAATATATATATACATATGTACGCATGTATGTATGTATGTATGTATGTATGTATGTATGTATGTATGTATGTATGTATGTATGTATGTATGTATGTATCTATGTATATATGTATGTATATATGTATGCATATGTTAGTTTTAGCATGGTTTTCTTGTTTTTCCAACATATATATTTCTAAAATTATCAGCTTGGGTTTATTTGTCCAATAAATACCAATTTTAGCGACTTAGTGTTTTTATAATAAAGTTTTATTTAACAGTCTATACCTTGTATCATATTATGTTTGTTATTATAAATATTAGTCTATCTATGTATATACATGTATATATAATTTTTTAATGTAAGTTAAACTTTTTTATCTGTTGAAGTGTGTTGTATTGATTATGTGTTCTGTTTGCTTTAAGTATACTTTAATGACAAAATTAATGTTGACTGTGATTTGTGTATAAGCTTTTTCTCCTCAAAATAAATCTGCGCTTATTCTAAACATATCTTCATTTTATTTTGTTTTTATCCTCCTTTATATAAAAAGTTTTTTCAGTAAAAATCATGTTTCTTTGTGAACTTTTATTGCTCTGACTAGTTCAAGCACCTCTAAGCACAGTTCACACTCAGATTACCAGCATCAAGTATAAAAAAAAGATTTTTTTTTTAGTAAGTTAGTCCAAAAAAATGATGTTATAGTGAGTATACAAGTTGTTTGGTAACTTAGTTGCAGGTGTACCAAAACAACAACATTCCATTATTATAACAAACGATAAAGATGAAAAGAAAGTATTTATTTTTACAAAAAGTTTTAAAAAGATTTTTAAATTTAATAAACTCAATGTTGATAAAAAATTGATTACAAAAGTTAGTTTTGAATAGAATAAATTTTTAGACAGAATCAGATGAATTTGAACCAGTGCCAAATTTTCGAATGACAGCTACGTCAAGTAATCAAAAAAAATCGTCTAAGATTTCAAAGAAATTAAAAGAAACAGTTAAATCAAATGATCTTAATAAATGTTTTACATCTCAAAGCACTACCACTAGGAATCCTGATAACGCTGAGGATATGGGTAAGTACACCAATGTGTGTGTATGTGTGTAAATGAATTATTAGAAACTTTATTTTAACTTTTGAAATATATTTAAAGCAAACAAATTTTTTAAAACAAAATTGTATATACCTTTGATATTCTACATACAGAAGTTTTGTGTTCGTCTAGCAATTAGATGACAAACTTTATATCTAGTATCTATCTATTATATGCAAGCAGCATTGAAGTAATGTATTGAACTTTTTTTTTTATCATATTTTTCTGACTTTCCAATTTATAACTTGTAGAGTCTTCTGGAAATTGTTTGCTATGTCTAATTATTTTATTTACTTGAAGCCCAGCATTAATAGTTTTTGTCTGGTAAAAATAGGTTTCTGCATTTTCGCTTTAAGTGTCTAGTAATTGTTAATATTTTTCTAGCTCAGAATAAGTATAAGCTCTATTAATAAATATATATAAATATATATAAATACTATAGATTGATATGATGATATAGTTTTAAAATATGTTTTGAAATTCTCCCCCCTCCTCCTCCCTTCTTAAAAAAGATATATCTGATATTTTTACTGCTTTTGAATAAGTTTTTATTATTTAATCTCTAGTGATTATCTCTAGTGATTACTTATGCTCTAGTTTACTACAGTATAAGTAATCACTAGAAGTTGTTAAATGTGTAATCCATGATTTTTTTTTATGTAATTGTGTGGCAACTGATGAAAGTGCTCTTTTTCTTAATAGCGTTAATATAAATGTATTAGAAATTCTCAACTTTTACATCTCCAAAAAAATGCTCGACACATGTTCATGTACTTCTAAAAAAAGCTTGGCTGACTTTCTTTTCCATTTTTTCATTCGCAATTATTTGATAAGTCTCCTGTCTATAATCTACCATAGTAAGGATTGGTCACTTTTCTCAATTCACAGATTTTTCATTTGCAATTATAATAATAATAATAAAACTTCTGGAAAAAATTAAAAAGAAGTAAGGAAGACACTGTAAAGATGATGTCAAATCATCAAAATTAATAAATTATATTCTAATCAAATATAAGCAACTTTTTCTGTGATTTGAGCTAAAAATAACATAACAGAAATTATTACGCAATAAGTATTGAACTGCTAACAAAAATAGGAGTCATTAAGCAATCAGTGTTAAGCAATAATTAATTAAGAAATAAGTGTCCATTTAGACTTAATATAATTAATTGATGTTAAAACAAGTTTTAACTTTTTAATTGTGGTTTTTTGTTCATTAGCTTGTTGTCCAGTTTGCAATGAGCCAATTCCAATAAAAAGAATTAATATCCATTTAGATGGATGTTTAAAAGCTAAAGAAAGGTATAAATTTATGTATTTTATATATAATTTTATTTTATAAGCCTGGAATTAAATGAGTTTTTTTATAAAAATATAAATTGTTTAAGAGAAAAAAATGCTTCATATATATATATATATATATATATATATATATATATATATATATATATATATATATATATATATATATATATATATATATATATATATCTGTGTGGGTGTACCGAAATTTTTTTTTAAAAACATACCAAAAACCGAAAAATCTGTGAGATTTTAAATAGTTATTTTTAAGAGTTTTCACAAAATTTTTTTTTAAATTCTCACAAAATACCATAAATAATCTTGTTTTGCAAAGAAAATCTGCCAGTTGTTAACTTTCGCTATTAACTTATATTGCCATTTTATGTATTAAATATCAATTTGTGAAACACGTGTAATCAATTCTAACATAATACACGTATAAATAAAATATCATGTAAAATTGGATTTTTAAATACAAATCTTTAATGAAATTAATTTTGACTAGCCGAAATGTCAGTGTCAGTTTCGGTAAAATATTTCTCGAAATATCAGTTTTGGTAAAATATTTGCCAAAATGTTGGTTTCAGTTAAATATTTGGCTAAATGTTGGTTTTGGTTTTGGCACCGAACTAGAGTACCCAAAATTTTGGTTTACTTCAGCTTTTTTTATGATTATTATATTATTATTATTATATATATATATATATATATATATATATATATATATATATATATATATATATATATATATATATATATATATATATATATATATATATATATATATATATATATATATATATATATATATATATGTATATATATATATATATATAATATTTACGTAAAGCATTTTTTTACCTTAAATAATTTAAATTTTTGCAAGGGGTTCAGTCCATACATGTATCAACTATAATATAGCCTGCTGTCACAAAAGAGTGCTGCTACATCGTCTAATTGTTTGGCATGAGGCAAACAATCAGGCAAATATTTTTCCTAATGCATTAAAAATGTCTTTTTTTTTCTTTCTGAAAAATTATTGCTCTTTAATTTTTCAGAAAAAGAAAAAAAAAAGAATAATGAAAGAAAAGATTGTTGCTTTGTGCCAAAACCTTAAACAATGCAGCAGCAGGCTATAAAATAGTTGATGTATGTACTGAAGTCTTTGCAGCTTCCTGTTTTAAATGACATCATCAATTTATAATGCTGCATTTATGTATGTGTGTGTAAATATATATATATATATATATATATATATATATATATATATATATATATATATATATATATATACATATATATATATATATATATATATATATATATATATATATATATATATATATATATATATATATATATATATATATATGTATATATATATATATACATATATATATATATATATATATATACACACACACACATATATATATATATATATATATATATATATATATATATATATATATATATATATATATATATATATATATATATATATATATATATATCCTTATAGTGTAGTCGAAAGAGTCGTTTAATGTAAAAAAAGTCTCTTACGACTACAATTTTAATTACCTTGTCTCTTAAGCTGTTTTTGATTGTCATCGAAATTTCAAAGCAATTAATTTATGCGGAAGTACGTTAAATTTAATTGTTTTTTAAAAAATTTTTAAAAAACCGCAATTATAACGACTAGAAAGTTTTTTTTAATTAGTGGTGTTTTTGTTATTGATTTAATAAAAAACATTTTTAAAACATGCGTAAATGTTGCTACATTGACTATCTTATAGCCTGACTCGCAACGGAGTGCTGCTACATCGGCTGACAAATAGCCTGACTCGCAACGGAGTGCTGCTACATTGACTGACAAATAGCCTGACTCGCAACGGAGTGCTGCTACATCGACTGACAAATAGCCTGACTCGCAACGGAGTGCTGCTACATCGACTGACAAATAGCCTGACTCGCAAGGGAATGCTGCTACATCGATTGACAAATAGCCTGACTCGCAAGGGAGTGCTGCTACAACGACTGACAAATAGCCTTACTCGCAAGAGAGTGCTGCTGCATCGACTAAGGGTTTGGTTTGGCCAGGCAGTCTATCAATTAAAAAAAAAATTTAATTTTCAAAACTTTTTCTGGTCTGGTTTATTAACGCGCTCAAAAAAATTATTTATGTAGCAATATAAAATTATTTATGTAACAATTACTTAACTGTAATTGTTACATAAATAATTTTAAACACCATATATAGTGTTTAGAATTTTTCAGTTTAGTTTTTAGGAAGAATATATATTAGTTATAACAAATACAATTATAAAAAAGTTATGATTATTTTTTCAGAATTCTTGTATAGTTTCTTTTAGCTTCATTGTGTCTTATTTTTAACACTTGGGTAATTGGATCAAATATCCTGGTAACTCTTCATTTAAAGAACATAGTTGTTTTATCTGACCTTGTTTTTCTTTTGTTCTTGTTTCTTATATCTGTAGTAAGAGTTTATCTTCATTTTTATAGATTTTATAAGATCATAGCTTGTTTGTTAACTTCAATGTTAAGTTTGTTAGTTTGTTAATTTCAATGTTAAGTTTGTTAGTTTGTTAATTTCAATGTTAAGTTTGTTAGTTTGTTAATTTCAATGTTAAGTTTGTTAGTTTGTTAATTTCAATGTTAAGTTGGTTAGTTTGTTAATTTCAATGTTAAGTTTGTTAGTTTGTTAATTTCAATGTTAAGTTTGTTAGTTTGTTAGTTTCAATGTTAAGTTTGTTAGTTTCAATGTTTGTTTTATGCAATAGTTAAACTAAATTAATAATTTTCAATTTTAAAAGTTTTTTTAAAAAAATTTTGAGTCTTAATCTAAAAAGTTTAATATAAAAAAACTACAACATATTTTTTAGTTTCAATACATTTAAATGAAAAATTGTTGTGTTTACAACAGATTGTTATTGTTACAACAGATTATTATGGTTACTCCATTAGTGGAGTAACCATAATAACCATAGTAACCATAACTGGAGTAACCATGGAGTTATAGTAGTGTAGTAGTAAAGTATTTTCTTTTTAAATAAGAAGCTCAGAGTATAATCCAAACCACATTGTTATTTGTGATTATCTCAAAATGTAAAAAAATGACTTGACCATGACCGTTAAAACTTTTTTATTAAATAATTGGACCAATATGATTAACCAATAGTTTATTTTCAACATTACTAAATCAGTTGTTGTGAAGAACTGGAGCAGTAATGTTCTGATTGATTGGTCAAGATTCTGGTATTTAATACACTTTTGAAAAAACAAATTCTGATAAATACTCAGATCTTTCATTAACAAATTTTCAGCATCCACAAAATTTCCAGGGATACTATCAATTGAATTATTATGTTCTTTTCTGGTACATAATCCAATATCTTTTATATTTGCCTAGAAGACAACTTCGGATTTGAAGTTTTACAATCAGGTTTTAATGAATTGTCACAATGTTAATTAATTCACAACGAGCCATTGTACAGGTTTTTTTTGCAAATAAAATTTCATTTACCCTTCCATTTATATCCATTTACCCTTCCATTATTTTTTTGTGTTCCATCCAAGCTTTTAGTGTTGTTTTTGAATTAATGAATATTACTATAGATATTTCATTTGCAACATCAATTGACTTTAAAGAGTTCGGGATGATATTATTATTACAACTATGGAATGCTAATATTGTGTAATGCTCTACTAGGACTTTAATAAGGATTATTAATGAGATTGGTTTAGTTAGTAAAAGTCTGGTTAAATTTTTCATCAAACTCCAATCAAATTAATTTGCAATTCTTGTCTGTGTGTATTTTAGACTCTTTTTCCTGTCAAATTTTTTTTTGGCAGTGTAACTTACTTGGATCTAAAACATTTTTAGGTGAGAGCATCGCAATATCCTTAAGCATTACTTTTACAATCATGTAGATTGCTGACATTCTCTTGATCAATTGCTTTACACAATTCATGATATTAATTTTGGTTTTGAGATAAATATTGTTCATCTTCTGAACTTTCATCTGATTGTTGAGAGACAACTTATTCATGTTGCTCATATGTGTCATTTACCATTTCATTAGAAATCATAATTGACACATATGTGAGTCACAAAGTACGCAAAGTTTTTTCACATTTAAAGAATTTAGATTTTAGATGTTGATTTTTCTATTCATTGATTTTATTATCGTTAGCTAATTTGTTGTATATGACCATCTCTAAGAACTATTTGTTTTTTTTTTGTCTAAAATTATCTAAAATTATCATTTGGATTATGATTTTTTCTGTTACAATATTAGGGATATATAATATATAATTTGTATTTATATTGTAAAAAGTAGTTCTGGTATTTCTATAATTAGTACATGTGCATGTTTATTTTTTGTAATAAAAAAATATATAAAATTTCTACCCAGCCTAATGTACATATATATTATATCATACTCTTTTAGATCATTAAAATACGAAAATATGAAAACCAAAGAATCAGAAACAAATACAGAAGATGATGAGATGATTGATTTTACTTCTTCACGTGATATGTACTTCATTATCTTTTTAATTGTATTGTTTGTAATAAAAATTTGCTGTAAAGTTAGTATTTATTTGATATTTGTTGTTAGTATTTATTTGATATTTGTTGGGTATTTGTTTGACAATTGTTTTATATTTAATGATACTTTGTATTATAGTATTCTTCATACTGTAAAAACAAATTCAAGAATGCCATCTTGAATTTGTTATTTACAAAAGAGAACAAATATTAAAACATTTAATCTGGAGGGCTAAGTGTAACAGGATTTATGGAAATAATGGATTAGTTTGGCATGATAAACGAATCAAATATGGGTACTTGATCCAAGTTTTTTTAAATAAATTTTTTTGCACCTATTTTTAGAAATCCTTAGTTAAAAATTTTATATATAATCTATATGCCAATCCATATAATTTTATATCATACCATTTAATTTAGATAATATATTTTTTTTATAGTTATATGTTTTTAAATAACATTAGCTTTTAAAATGATGACCTTTTTTATTTGAATAACTACTTTTATATTGTTTCAATTGAAATATTTTTAAAAAGTTCAATTTTTCAATTAAAACCAATTGAAAAGTGCCATACAAACCCGGTAGCAGTTTAACTTTAGTAGTCCAAGTAGCCCATTGTTAATTTCTTGGGAAGAATTTCATTAAAAATCATTTTTCTGGTCTGTGATAGTAGCCTATTGCAGCACAACCACACATACTTTTACACAAAATTTACAAATTAGCATTTACTCGCATTTGTTTTGGTGAGAAACATCTTTGACTACAGAAGCTTAAGTGATGTTGATGTCTATAACCCGTTTTTTTCAGGGTTTCCAGCAAAGTGAAGTTCAGGAGTGAAGATTCTTTTCAACTCTTTTCATGTTTAGACAATTAAATAATTATACTTATTATTCAATAGCTTTTTATTATTATTACTTGTCATTATCAAATAGAGTAATAGATTTATCTTTATCCATAATAACATTGGTTGGCTATTATTTTGTTTTCAGATTTTATTGTACAAGCACAATTTGCATATACTATATAATACAATAAAATATAATACAAGATTTTGTTTCTAATGTACCAAAATAAAATAATGATATTTTAGATATATATCTAAAATACATGATGTAAATTCTACATTTCCTCCCCCCCCCCCCCCCTTCTCCCTATAATTTTAATATTGCTTTAAATTTTTGATTGTGGAAATGCTTGACAGTTTATATCCAGGACACATAAATTTATAAAATATAGTCTTAAAACACCTCCGGAGTATTCAAAGATATAAAAATATATAAGAAAGAAAAACAAAAAACAAATACATTTAAAAAGTTATGCAATGCTGATCTCAATAAGGTAAGCAATTTTGATGCAAATTTTAATAAGCTAAGAATTGACAATCATCTATATTATAATGTTAATAAGCTAAGAATTGACAATATCTATATTATAATGTTAATAAGCTAAGAATTGACAATCATCTATAGTGATTATAATGTTAATGCAGTAGTTGTTCAGTGGTGAAGCACTCGGTTCATAAGCGAGAAGCTCCAAGTTAGATCCCCACCACATCCCTAATAGTACCACACTCAACATGTTTCTCCACCCAGCAACCTTGTTTGTCAGGGTTTGTATTTTGGAGTTATAGATTTTGGGCTTTGAATTAACATTGTAAAAAAAACAACTATTGAAAATATGATTGAGGGCCACTGATTTTATCATAGGGTTGCAGAATCGACATGGAAAATTGGCAGCATTAATAGCGACAATGTTCTGCAAATTGTTTGGAATTCATTCAGCATTGAGAGCAGAATCTTTACCATTGTTTCATATGTGTAAGTTTGTCTGACATGGCACACTCATAGCACAGCTAATCAGAGTTTAGATACTACTACATTCTAAACAGGAATACCTATGAAAGCCATTATGTGCCTGCTATATACATTATCAGGGAGCCAATTAGTGTTCTTCATTTTGAAACATTTTTGATTTTAATATTAGTTAAAATCATAGGAAGGCTATTTTTTAATTTGTCGCACATAATAATAAGAGGTGATCATGAGCAATAGAGTGCATTTGATAGATTTTGTTTTTCAGTTTTTTAACAGTATATGTACTTACACAATGGCATTTATTTATTGTTTGTTTTGAAGCAAGTTGTTTTGATTGTTTGTTAATTTGTAGCAAAAAAAAGGTTTTTATTTAAAAATTATTGATTAATTGGTCATAATAAAAGATATATATATATCTTTTATTATTATTATTGTTATTTATATATCTTATTTTCAAATATATATTTTTTTAATATATTAATTTATATTTTAATTTTTTATTTATACAGTGAAATTGCTGACAAAAATGAAAATGCTACCAAAAAAATTGAAAAAATGAAAATTGAAAAACAAGAAAATATAGTCAAGATTGAAACATCAAATGATTTAATGTATGCACTTTATTTTAATGTATGCACTTTATTTTAATGTATGCACTTTATTTTATTGTTGTAAGACTGTTTTTTATTAATTATTTTTTTGATACTATTTCAACATCAAACATTTTTTATTAAAATGAATTTTTTCAGAAATGGATCTTGTTTTATTGTTTTATCAAGAATTGTATTCATTTTTTTCCTCTAGCTTCATTTATTTACTGGTAATTAGTGACAGCATTATATAGCATTAATTATTGGTAATAATTTATTATTATCTATGTTCACCCTATTATTCTAATTTTCTTTCTTTTTAATAAACTCAAATCACCTATCTTTGTCCCTCTACTCTAGTCTTGTCATTGACCTTATCTTGTGATTAGTTAATCCTTATTCTTATTTTGGTAATTCAGATGATTATATTTACACTTTTGTATTATACTTCTACATCAGAATCACCATATCAACACACCTCAAACTAACTTTAGGGTGACTGAATTAAGATGTCATTTTAACCATTTAATTAGTTATAAAAGTCTCAGTGTTTTGTTGCTAGAGTGCTGCCAGGGTAAACAAATTGACGAGTTAGTAAAAAGTCTGCAAAGAGCATTTTTTTTTAAGTTCAACTATTGAGTGTCATGAGACAACATTTTGCTTGACCTCCCTGACAGATTATTTTAATGATGTAAATCATTTTGATCTAAAGTTATTCACTATATAAAGTATTCTCCAGCTTTTGTTCTTCACAACATTTTTGTCATGCAAATTTGTTTTATAGAACTCTGTTTGATTTAAACTCTCTTTAATACTGCCTAAGCAGTATTAAAGAGAGTCTAATTCACAAATTATCACCTAAATATCAAGAAGCATTTTTTAGTATTGCTACTTTTATCATATATTATTGTTACTGTTATTATATTATTATTGTTACCATATATGATCTTTTTGTGTTTCTGAGTAACTTAAATGCAGCATTAACAAACTACTATAGTATTTGTGAACAAACTACAATAGTATTTGTGAACAAACTACAATACTCTTTGTGAACAAACTACAATACTCTTTGTGAACAAACTACAATAGTATTTGTGAACAAACTACTATAGTATTTGTGAACAAACTACTATAGTATTTGTAAACAAACAACAATATTATTTGTGAACAAACTGCAATACTCTTTGTGAACAAACTACAATAGTATTTATAAACAAACTACAATAGTATTTGTGAACAAACTACAATAGTATTTATGAACAAACTACAATAGTATTTGTGAACAAACTACAATAGTATTTGTGAACAAACTGCAATACTCTTTGTGAACAAACTACAATAGTATTTGTGAACAAACTACAATAGTATTTATGAACAAACTACAATAGTATTTATGAACAAACTACAATAGTATTTATGAACAAACTGCAATAATATTTGTGAACAAACTACAATAGTATTTATGAACAAACTACAATAGTATTTGTGAACAAACTGCAATACTCTTTGTGAACAAACTACAATACTCTTTGTGAACAAACTACAATAGTATTTGTGAACAAACTACAATAGTATTTGTGAACAAACTACTATAGTATTTGTGAACAACCTACAATAGTATTTGTGAACAAACTACAATAGTATTTGTGAACAAGCTGCAATACTCTTTGTGAACAAACTACAATAGTATTTATGAACAAACTACAATAGTATTTGTGAACAAACTACAATAGTATTTATGAACAAACTACAATAGTATTTGTGAACAAACTACAATAGTATTTGTGAACAAACTACTATAGTATTTGTGAACAACCTACAATAGTATTTGTGAACAAACTACAATAGTATTTGTAAACAAACTGCAATACTCTTTGTGAACAAACTACAATAGTATTTGTGAACAAACTGCAATACTCTTTGTGAACAAACTGCAATAGTATTTATGAACAAACAACAATAGTATTTGTGAACAAACTACAATAGTATTTATGAACAAACTACAATAGTATTTGTGAACAAACTACAATAGTATTTATGAACAAACTGCAATAGTATTTGTGAACAAACTACAATAGTATTTATGAACAAACTACAATAGTATTTGTAAACAAACTGCAATACTCTTTGTGAACAAACTACAATAGTATTTATGAACAAACTACAATAGTATTTGTGAACAAACTACAATAGTATTTATGAACAAACTACAATAGTGTTTGTGAACAAACTACAATACTCTTTGTGAACAAACTACAATACTCTTTGTGAACAAACTACAATAGTATTTATGAACAAACTACAATAGTATTTGTGAACAAACTACAATAGTATTTATGAACAAACTACAATAGTATTTGTGAACAAACTACAATAGTATTTATGAACAAACTGCAATAGTATTTGTGAACAAACTACAATAGTATTTATGAACAAACTACAATAGTATTTGTGAACAAACTACAATAGTATTTATGAACAAACTACAATAGTATTTGTGAACAAACTACTATAGTATTTGTGAACAAACTACTATAGTATTTGTAAACAAACTACAATAGTATTTGTGAACAAACTGCAATACTCTTTGTGAACAAACTACAATAGTATTTATGAACAAACTACAATAGTATTTGTGAACAAACTACAATAGTATTTATGAACAAACTACAATAGTATTTGTGAACAAACTACAATAGTATTTGTGAACAAACTACTATAGTATTTGTGAACAACCTACAATAGTATTTGTGAACAAACTACAATAGTATTTATGAACAAACTGCAATAGTATTTGTGAACAAACTACAATACTCTTTGTGAACAAACTACAATACTCTTTGTGAACAAACTACAATAGTATTTGTGAACAAACTACTATAGTATTTGTGAACAAACTACTATAGTATTTGTGAACAAACTACTATTGTATTTGTAAACAAACAACAGTATTATTTGTTAACAAACTGCAATACTCTTTGTGAACAAACTACAATAGTATTTATGAACAAACTACAATAGTATTTGTGAACAAACTACAATAGTATTTATGAACAAACTACAATAGTATTTGTGAACAAACTACAATAGTATTTATGAACAAACTGCAATAGTATTTGTGAACAAACTACAATAGTATTTGTGAACAAACTACAATAGTATTTATGAACAAACTACAATAGTATTTGTGAACAAACTACAATAGTATTTGTGAACAAACTACAATAGTATTTGTGAACAAACTGCAATACTCTTTGTGAACAAACTACAATAGTATTTGTGAACAAACTACAATAGTATTTATGAACAAACTACAATAGTATTTATGAACAAACTACAATAGTATTTATGAACAAACTGCAATAATATTTGTGAACAAACTACAATAGTATTTATGAACAAACTACAATAGTATTTGTGAACAAACTGCAATACTCTTTGTGAACAAACTACAATACTCTTTGTGAACAAACTACAATAGTATTTGTGAACAAACTACAATAGTATTTGTGAACAAACTACTATAGTATTTGTGAACAACCTACAATAGTATTTGTGAACAAACTACAATAGTATTTGTGAACAAGCTGCAATACTCTTTGTGAACAAACTACAATAGTATTTATGAACAAACTACAATAGTATTTGTGAACAAACTACAATAGTATTTATGAACAAACTACAATAGTATTTGTGAACAAACTACAATAGTATTTGTGAACAAACTACTATAGTATTTGTGAACAACCTACAATAGTATTTGTGAACAAACTACAATAGTATTTGTAAACAAACTGCAATACTCTTTGTGAACAAACTACAATAGTATTTGTGAACAAACTGCAATACTCTTTGTGAACAAACTGCAATAGTATTTATGAACAAACAACAATAGTATTTGTGAACAAACTACAATAGTATTTATGAACAAACTACAATAGTATTTGTGAACAAACTACAATAGTATTTATGAACAAACTGCAATAGTATTTGTGAACAAACTACAATAGTATTTATGAACAAACTACAATAGTATTTGTAAACAAACTGCAATACTCTTTGTGAACAAACTACAATAGTATTTATGAACAAACTACAATAGTATTTGTGAACAAACTACAATAGTATTTATGAACAAACTACAATAGTGTTTGTGAACAAACTACAATACTCTTTGTGAACAAACTACAATACTCTTTGTGAACAAACTACAATAGTATTTATGAACAAACTACAATAGTATTTGTGAACAAACTACAATAGTATTTATGAACAAACTACAATAGTATTTGTGAACAAACTACAATAGTATTTATGAACAAACTGCAATAGTATTTGTGAACAAACTACAATAGTATTTATGAACAAACTACAATAGTATTTGTGAACAAACTACAATAGTATTTATGAACAAACTACAATAGTATTTGTGAACAAACTACTATAGTATTTGTGAACAAACTACTATAGTATTTGTAAACAAACTACAATAGTATTTGTGAACAAACTGCAATACTCTTTGTGAACAAACTACAATAGTATTTATGAACAAACTACAATAGTATTTGTGAACAAACTACAATAGTATTTATGAACAAACTACAATAGTATTTGTGAACAAACTACAATAGTATTTGTGAACAAACTACTATAGTATTTGTGAACAACCTACAATAGTATTTGTGAACAAACTACAATAGTATTTATGAACAAACTGCAATAGTATTTGTGAACAAACTACAATAGTATTTATGAACAAACTACAATAGTATTTGTGAACAAACTACAATAGTATTTATGAACAAACTGCAATAGTATTTGTGAACAAACTACAATAGTATTTGTGAACAAACTACAATAGTATTTATGAACAAACTACAATAGTATTTGTGAACAAACTACAATAGTATTTGTGAACAAACTACTATAGTATTTGTGAACAACCTACAATAGTATTTGTGAACAAACTACAATAGTATTTGTGAACAAGCTGCAATACTCTTTGTGAACAAACTACAATA